TAAGGTTGGCCATTTTTTATTATTTCATTCGAGATCCCATCTTCCGCTGACGCCTTGTTGTTGTTTTAACTGTTTGATCGCTTTTATAATTTCGCTTTTTAGAATTGGTCTGTCGAGTTCAGTGTTATTATCCAAATGGTGTTCCAATCGATATATTTCAGAGTTTATTTCATCGTCTAAATCACTTTTATTTATGTTATATTCAGAGGATGGATTTAGTAATTTATTAAAATAGGATAACCATTCGTTAGGCGCTACCGAGGCATTAGTGTTATCAGTGTTATGTGTGTTGTCATAACCCATTAAGTAAGTGATAAGGTGTCGGTCACGTAAACCGACGATCATAGGTTCGACCCCTATCTGAGGCTCAGATTCAAATATTTTAGACTCATAAAGGTTGTCCACAAATTTCGTGATTCAATGTTGGAGTAAGTACGAAGTAATTACAAGATTATTGACTACCTAACACCCAGACGTCACACCAATCGTAGAGCAGCTTGTTGTCGACACGTCAAATTCTGTATATTAGTATATGCAATGTTGAAGACTGACCGATTGCTCGAAGAATACGCACATCTGATTGGAAGCGTCTGTGAAATAATCTTTAAAGATGCAACTTAGATGACAGCATGTAATCTTCACTATGGTTGTTTCATACTCTATGGTTTTTATGAACATTGAGAAAGACGGCTTTTAAAACAAATTTGACATTTTTGGGTGAACACATTTTTATGTTTTATGGTTTGGTTGCAGTCCATGAATAACGTTGCCTTTTCCAACATAGTGCGTGTCGCCTCAGTGGCCAAGTGGTAAGGCGTCGGTCTTGTAAACCGAAGATCATGGGTTCAACCCCTATCTGAGGCTCAGTTTCAATTATTTCAGATTTATAAAGTACTGTCAATCAAACGATAGTCTATGAATAAAGATAATTTCTTTTGTTCTGTCTTTGTGCAACATGTCGCCTCAGTGGCCAAGTGGTAAGGCGTCTGTCTCGTAAACCGAAGATCATGGGTTCAACCCCCATCTGAGGCATATTTTTAACTATTTTTTTTAACTATGGTATCATCATGGAACTATAGTTCCATGGTATCATTAACTGAAAACGTGCTTTCGGCATTCAGCTGGGTCTTTGTTCAATAAAACAACAGAAATCTCTTTAGTATGTATGTACTAGTATACTGGCTATTTTGGTACGTACAATAATAATCACTGCACATACGTACTAGCACATGTGTTATTTCCACTCCATCCAATGAAAACTGTTATGTGTGCTACAAAGGAAATCAATCGTAATTCCAATGGGTCATCATTATCAAGCAGTATCAATATTAAACAAACTGCTTTCTTTCAAGTGTTACGCATTTACTGTTTATATTTGCTCCGATACATGACCCCTCTTCTAAATCCGTCGCTGCCATAACAGGGGTATAATCCTTGCATACGGGTACCTGTATAACTCAACATTGCGCACGCAAAGAAGTAACACCGTGACGACCCTCAGGCTGTGACAAAAATAGACCAGTTTCGTAGTTACCATAGAAACTAGCACGATAAATTTCGTCTGCGTAGGGGAAGGGGTGATTTCGCCACGTAAATGTTCAGTGAACAAATCAAATCTGTCACCCATTCTCGCACGAAAACCGACTGATGGCGCTATAACCCGAAACTCGGCTATTGTTTTAGGTCTTACAAATTGTCACTTTTTAGTTAAAGCGGGGAGAGTCGTCACATGCGCATGCGTCAGATGGCCATAGCATGTCAATGTTTACAAACAGGCCTTCGCGTTTTTAGCGAGTGTTATCATCGCTTGGGACTCAATTCCCGCGCGTGCGCAAGTGACGATCCTCCCGCTTTAAGACTAATGGCGATATATTATTTCTCCATAATGGGCGTATACTCGTCACAACAACATTGCACAAATATGATGTGTATATTGCCATATTTTGGTTAAAATTTGAGTATGCTGAATAAAAACTTGTACTGTAAAGTTAGGCATTGCTGCACACAAAGTCCGTATGCTAAATCCTAAACCTCCATAGCAGTGAATATAGGGAATATAGCAACAATGGACGCGCCGTGTAACTATCCTAACCAATACTCAAGAATTCAACTAGCATTCATTGACAAGTTGATACATCCCATGACCACGTGACTTTCTGATCTATATGAACATGGGAGGTAGATGAACAACTGCATCCCATGCTATGAATAACATCCAAAGGTAACAAAATGCAAAAAACGATACACTCTGACACAGACAAATAATCTGTTTATATTAACCAAGCGCTGATTAGTCGAACAACTTAACAATGCATTGCAAATTATTTAATTTCACCACTTTTCATAGCCATGTGACTGTTTCAAATTAAACTCTTGTTGGGCGTACTATTAAGAGGATATTTTGAGTGAAAGGTCATGGCGAATAAACCTATATATATATAATTATATGCAAATTTGTTTCATAAATATTTGGAGGTCAGTAAAACTGTTAATACATAGAAATAGCGTTGCACCAGCATCTCTGTGAATCAAAATATCAATAATATGATGGATGTTTTACTGGATCCGCACAGAATACCTCCTCCAACAAATAACTCACTATGTCATATTCATTATCATACTTCGAAATATAACTTATTTCAGGTCTTCATTTCACAGTCTGGCAATCGAAATGGGAACAAATTGAGGGGATTGCTAGGGCAAATAGAGCGTGTTGCCCTCCAAATTTAGCACAGGAAAAATTTCACTTCTCGTTATTTTGCCCAAAGTACATATTTCTTAGGGAGTTGTACATTCTAGAGTTATATTTCTGTTCACCTTTGAGATAGAAATTTAACTTAATAATGAGCATGGTGACAATCAATTAATTCAATTAAACGTGTCAAGGTTTATTTTCTATGCATTTTTAGTTTATTTTTTAACAAGTACACAATATGTAGTTTTTACTTTTTATTGTGATTTTCAATTAAAGGTCCTTTCTCGTTGTAATAATAGATGTTTTTCTTTTGTACCAAGAGGCCGATGGTCATAGTACTGAATGAATATCTGTATAATAGTACATTTGTATCAACGATATAATTTAGTAAAAAACGCGATTCGATTTCGTGTAAACAAAATGGTGTTCTATTATTAGAGTGGCTCAAAATGGTGGTTGGTACAGTAAATTTACGGCGGATTAACTGGTAGCTGAATTCACTCGACGCTCGCGAGTTTATTCCATGCTGCGCCATCCATGTATTATACATTTTGTTTTGGACTTTTCCAATTAAGTAGTCAGTCAGTCAGTCAGTCAGTCAGTTAATTAATTAATTAATTAAATTGTTGTTACGTTAATATAACGTCAAATAAGAAACCAGTATAGTAGTGTTAATCAGTGCCATGCGCAGTAATATGAACGCTCATTGAGGCCGAGTAGTATTAAAAACTGCATTAACAATAAATCCATAAAATGCACTTTATACTTACAAGAACTTGGTCGCATGTTTCGCCCAATTCTATCTCTATTTTCTCGCGATATTCTCGACAAAGTGCAATTCGTCTTTCACGAGTCGGTTTTGTTTGTGGCATATCATTGCGTGCTCTACCTGTTTTAGTTTCCAAGCTTGAGATTGACCTCCAAGACGAACGTTTCGCTCCAACCACGTTTTTAAAAGCAACGGAGAACAAATTGCGTTCATCTTCTGTCATACTACCATCACACTCCGCTACGAACTTCATAAACAGCGTCATATCATCATAACGCTCTGCCTGCTCGGCCCATCGAGCATTAGTCACCAGCGCGTCTCGATTCTTCATTTTTTCTTCCAAATTGTACAAGTTCAAATTCTTGAGGAGAAACATTATGAAGCATTAACTATAAATTAGTATATGAGAAAGTCTGCAATGTTGCATCAACGATAGGTTTTAACACAATGGACTGGTTCGCTGAATGCGTGGGATGAATAATCCCTATAATCCAGGGACGTTCATCCACACAACTAGGGGGTATGTATGACTAAAATATATGTTGCCGAGGGGTCATGCCGATTTAGTTGAAAGTGTCGATTCCACTGGTTGCTCACCTGTACAACTAGGGGTTGTGCTTGACTAATGGATGTACTACTGAAGGATTGTGTCAATTTAGTTGAAAGTGTCCATTCCATTTGTTGCTCACCTGTGCAACTAGGGGTTATGCTTGACTAATGGGTGTACCATTGAAGGATCGTGCCAATTTAGTTGAAAGTGTCCATTCCACTTGTTGTTCACCTGCACAACTACGTGATATGCTTGACTAATGGATGTACTACTGAAGGATCGTACCAATTTAGTTGAAAGTGTCTATTCCACTTGTTGTTCACCTGTACAACTAGGGGATGTGCTTGACTAATGGTTGTATTACAG